AACCCCCGCCCCCCCCCCGGCAGCCCCCCCCCCCCCCCCCGCCACAGCGAGCAGCGCTGCCTAACGACCCGTAAAATAATAAAACATCTCAACTAGAGTCATATTCCGACTGGTAAGATGAAGAACTAGGCCAGCAAAATGGCAATCGCCAGCAGGTCACAGCTGCTGTTTGCTGTACTGCTCCGGCGGAGTAGTGCAACTACTGGGTGCTCTGCAGCTGTAAATGGGAGTTCTGACCTCCAACAGAGACAGGTCCACGCCACTCACACGTCTACGTTTCCTGATACCGTATGCGTGCGTGTACGTCTGGTGTATTATAAACATCTTTCTTCACGTGAATAGGCTGCATAAGCCATTTATGTGGCCTTAAAAGCTAACGCTAAGGTCATAGGCCAGGCTCCGTTTTCAGTTATCATCAGAATTTCCCTTAGAAAAAAAAAAAATCAGCGTGGGAGGCAGAAGTCACTTGAATTCCAAGGACGAAGATATCAGCTCTGTGACGTGACCTTCGTACTGCTGGTACAAGACCAGCGCTAATTAGGTCGTTCCACTTACATCCGGTAACAGCGCTTTGTGGGAAAGCCGTTTCCGTCACTACCAACTTCTTCTGAACTCAGAGCGATAACCCAACAGCTCCCCGAGACATCATTCACAAACGAATCCAAAGAGCAGAAGTCACGCACCGCAGCGAAGCGGTGGTGCTCGGGGGAGCGTGCCGCACCGACCCTGCCATTTTGAAGCCGTTACCTGCAGAGCGGAGGCGTCAAGGCCGAAGCAGAACTTCTCCCAGGGCCCGGTGCTCCCGGGGGCCTTGGCGAGCCCGATGGCAGCGTTGTGGGCAGACACGCTAACGCTGGTCTCGGGGGACGCCAGCCTGTTTGCGGGAGGAAATTGTAAGAAGAGGGCATAGGTGCCAGTGTCACTGGAGAAGCGGAGGCTGTAGTGGTTCGCGCCCACGTCCCCGCTGAGGCTCTGGGGCCGGATGGCGGGCACAGGCAGGAGCAGGGTGAGGGAGGCCTCATCCTGCCGGCAC